GTATCAGTACTTTACTCCACGACTTAATTTTCTGACGACTTTTTACTTTGACTTCTTACACTTTGAACATAAATACCTGTACTTTCTACTTCTTACATGTTGAACTCAAATACCTGTACTTTCTACTTCTTACATGTTGAACTCAAATACCTGTACTTTCTACTTCTTACATGTTGAACACAAATACCTGTACTTTCTACTTCTTACATGTTGAACTCAAATACCTGTACTTTCTACTTCTCTCATTTTCCAAACAGGCTGGTTCCTTTAGTCTGAATGTGTGTTTGGTGGCGTGATCATTATTATTTAGAGTCATTGCGTGCCTATTGATTTGAACACGATCCGTGTATCCATCATTTCCTGGTCTTCTCTAAAGAAGAGGGACCAATGAAAACGTTGTCATGTTGCCGTTGGTCACCATGGAAACATTCATTAGCTAACAATGACATTATTGTTCTATTAATATAAAGGGAGGTCAGGTACTCTTTAAAACAGCTGCTAGTTATGGGTACTTTTTACTGAAGTACATTTCAAAGCCTCTTTACTTTAACTTGAGTAAAGAAGTTTAGTCAGTACTTCTACTTTCACCAGAGTATTTTTAAACACCAGTATCTGTACTTCTACTTGAGTAAAGGATGAGAGTACTTTTGCCATCTCTGACCTTTGGTGCTTTAAGTATCTTTTGATGCTAGTACTTGAGTAACTTTTTGAATGCAGGACTTTGACTTGTAACAGAGCATTCCTAGACTGGTATCTCTACATGAACCCAGGTATCTGAATCCTTCTTTTGATCCTGCTTCTCCGTGTGTTCAGGTGGCGATGGTGGAGGTGCAGCTGGAGATGCACTACAACTACCACCCTGCGCTCCTCATAGCCTTCAGCGTGTGCACCACGGTGCTGGTGGCGGTGCATCTGTTCGCCCTGCTGATCAGCACCTGCATCCTGCCCAACGTGGAGGCCGTCAGCAACATCCACAACCTGAACTCCGTCAGCGAGTCTCCGCACGAGCGCATGCACATCTACATCGAGCTGGCCTGGGGCTTCTCCACCGCGCTGGGCATCCTGCTGTTCCTCGCCGAGGTGGTGCTCCTCTGCTGGATCAAATTCCTGCCCGTAGACTCGTGCCTTTCCAAAAAGACCTGCAACACAGAGAGCTCCACCTCCACAGCTTCCCCCACCCCCCCCACTGCTTCGACCACCGGCTTTCAGGCGGCGCTGGCCTCCACCATCATCATGGTGCCGGTGGGCGTGATCTTCGTCGTCTTCGCCGTTCACTTCTACCGCTCGCTGGTGCGCCACAAGACGGACCGACACCACGAGGAGATCGAGGAGCTGCACAAGATCAAGGTGCAGCTGGACGGGCAAGAGAGAGGCCTGCAGACGGTGTGACGGACGCCATGTTTACCTCTCTGAGCCAAGGGAATGAGTCCTCAAACCCTGAGAGTCAGCATTTCAGCACTTCCTGTTCCCTCTTCTGGAAGTCAATGGGTTTTTTGAATGTGTTTTTGGTCAGGAAATAAGGTCAGATTTTCACGTTTTGGTCTTCAACATAAAATACGTCAGTAAATACCTCACTGGTGAATTTAAACACAGCGGTTGCTAACAAGTGTATAAATTAGACGACTTAAAGTCATCACGCCCAACATTAGCCACCTTTAGCTTAGCGCTGGTGACGTGAAGTCATGTGACCGCGCTGTAGTTCCTTTACAGCCCAACATTAGCCACCTTTAGCTTAGCGGTGGTGACGTGAAGTCATGTGACCGTGCTGTAGTTCCTTTATAGCCCAACGTTAGCCACCTTTAGCTTAGCGCTGGTGACGTGAAGTCATGTGACCGTGCTGTAGTTCTTTTATAGCCCAACGTTAGCTTTTTACTTCAGAAATCATGAATTGGTGTTAATATGTGGAGAGTATCCTGCTGAACTAAAAGTGGAAGTATCATAAATGTTTGCCACAGATCTTATTTTGCGCAATAATCCAAAATCCAAATGTAAAATCCCATTGACTTTTTGTGAAAGGAACCAGGGAGATGCTACCTTCAGGGACGGACTAAAAAATACGTCATCCCTTTAAAGCTCCTCACTCTGCAGCACAATTCATGTCTTACTGCTAATTTATTCTTCCGGTCAGTTGTCTTGTAGAGTTTGCTGTAGGACCTCGTCTGTGTTTCATGTGTCGGTGAAGTCAATGTTAAGGTTTACAGAAAAAAGGGCTACTGTGTTCCGTGTGCCATATATGTCTGTTTTTATTGTTGTGTTTGGTGACGACTGGAATCAGTTCCCCGTCAAATCAAATGTAACAATATCAATATTGCGACAATATTTTAGGGATAAAAATGAATGCTTTCACTATACTGTAGTATGACAACACATCTTCAGTAATGTGGATTTATGGTTATGTCGATAAAGACCAATAAGTAAAACAGTCTGATACATTCAGAAGTGTTTCTATTTTACTGTACGGCAGCACTTCAAACCAGAAAGACACTTTTTTATTGATTAAATATCGATGTATTGCCTGAACTTAGTTTTAGTTTTGTAAAATACAAATCAAATGTCCTATACAATCTTGTATCTCCTCACACTTTACTATCAAAGACCTGCCATCACTAGATTAAAAGTGAAATGCCATAAATAACTTTACCTTAGGTCAAAAATATATCTTAAAGACTGTGATCTCTTCACTCTAGTTTCTCAGTTATATTCCATGCCAATGTTAAATAGATTTAACAAGAGATTAAAGAAACATGTGGATTTATTAATCTCATTAAAAACTGGATTCAGATTTGATCAAATCTTCACAAACACCAACTCTGTTTACGCTTTTAAATAAACCTGAGCTTTTTAAAGTCAAGCATTACACTGCGGGATCTTAATGTGTGTCTCACTGTAACGTCTTTCAAAATATGTTGCATGTCTTGTAAAACTGTCAGGAGGTTAGCATTACTCTGTTTCTATGTCCAAAATCTCCAAAAAACCTCAACTGTTTAGTCATTTTCCTCCTTCAAAAAGCTTCTTATTGTCTTTTACAAAGACGTCTGCAAACTGCTGCTTAGATGTGAAACATATGAATGTGTGTTCCTGTCAGAATATAGTTCTGCCTTAAAGAAATATTGCCTTTTATGAGCTGCTGTTATGCAAAAGTTCATGATGACGCGAGCTGATGCGGGGAATGTAGTGTCAAATGTTACAAAGTCCATGTCGGCACGATCTCCACTTTTTATATCAAACATCAGAAAGAAACGACAAACAGAAATGGTTACTGCGTAGACAAAAAAACTGTTATCACATTCCACATAAGATGCCTGACCAAAGTGTTTCCTGTTTGAGATGAAGTGCACTTGTCGTTATGTTGAGGGTTTTATCAGAGAATATGTATGATGGATGAATCCTGCAGGCCACTGAGTACCTGCAACACCCTTTCAAAATAAAATACAAATATTAAAGTTCTCATTGTCTCTTGTTTTTTCAACATACTATACCGTGACTTTTTTCAACATACTATACCGTGACGTTTTTACTTTGTTCAACATACTATACCGTGACTTTTTCACTTTGTTCAACATACTATACCGTGACTTTTTTCAACATACTATACTATGACTTTTTTCTAACATACTCTACTACGTATGACTTTTATTTGTACTTGTTTAGGAAACACTACACTGTGACTTTTTGGACATAATGTTATATGACTTTAAAGAAAACATTTGACTTGGCACAATATATGATTTCGAAATCCTACATTATGAATTTGAAGCCAAAAATGTAGAAGTATGAACATGAACATGTTATGTCTGGAAATAAAGGTAGATTTTACCATAGGATTTGTTTTATACTTCAGTGTTGGATTTATTTATACATAAAGTATTGCCGTAGTCTTTCTTTCAAACTAGTATCTATAAAACCGGAATTTAGTCGTTCACCTGATGATGGTGTTCAGGTGATTGTCCATCATCTCCCTTAAAACACAGACAATCAGATGTGATGAGGGGTAAATGGTGAATTTGCAAAGCATTGTATTACCTTATTACACGGTTTAGTCGAATACTCGATTCTGATTGGTCAATTTGGACATTCCAGAGGTCTGCTATTTATTCGCTAGATATGGATCATCGCACTATGTGCAGTCATATCAATCCGCGGAAAGAAGTCCGGTCAATTAATGTACGCAGTGACCAAATACACGTGTTTCCTGCTTCAGAAAACACCATGGAAATGTTTAATTTTTAATAATTGTAGAGAACATAAACTTTGGAAGTCATGATGGCTAAACGGTCCCCAGTTAAGACAACACAAAGAGCAGAGAGAAGGAATGAAGACAGAAGAAGACAGGAAGAGAGCCTTAAAGGTAACACGGGGTGGGCTCTGGTAGTGTTTAAAGACTGGCTAATTGAGAATAAAATGTGAACAGACTTTTACATTTAGAGAAAACCTCCATCATTGCTGCAGTCATTTCAGTTCCAGCCTTTGGCGATCAGTGAAACGGACTACTTTTCTTAGCGGAAGCAAAACGGTTATTATTAAATTATTTTGAATCAATATTGTGTGATTCAAGTAATTATCGGGATAATGGACAGCTAGCTGGTCATTAAAGTGACACAATAAAAGAAGATCAGGATCCTGACCACAAAAAGCATATTTAACTTAATAATATCTTACAATGGATTAAATAGTTTAGAAATCACAACTTTCCTAGTTAGAGTCCAAGTGTACATGTTTTAAATGTCTAATTCTGTTCAAATTAAAGTTCAAAACTCCAACATATTGAGGTTATACTTAATAATGAGAATGAAAAGCAGCATATCATCTAATTTGAGAAGCTAAACATTACTTTTAAACACCTGAACTGTTGTAAAACATCCGTAACATTCATCTGCTACTATGTAATTATTTATTTATATATATCATTCCAATAGCTTGCATATAGACTCTTATTTCACTACTTCACTTTTTTTTAAACTATTTTTCTTTTTGTATTTACTTTTTAATATTTACTTGCACTATATTTTTCTGTTTTTCTGTATTATTGTGTTGCACTGTTAGAGAAGCCTGTGACCTCAGATCAGATTTTCATCGACATAACTACACTGAAGCTATGTTCGTATAACAAATAAAGAACCTTGAACCTATTGCATTTTTTTTGCTTGATTAACCGCTCAATTCATTATTAATCAAAGTTGGCGTAATAAAAAGGAACAGCAACATGGTGATCATGAGGATCCTGCTCACATTGAGTGTGTTTTCCTGTTCTTTATTATTGGCCGCCTGCTTACTTCAATAGCATTTACTGAAGAAATCAGCTGATTCTAAACTTTTGAAGGGAATGTTTTCCCTATTTTGGAACAATAATTTTCTGCATGGCTTATTCTGCCAATTTTCAAGAAGTAATGTGCTTCTTATTACAATTTCACACACATGTGTAATAGGATAATAATAATAATGATGAATTTAAGTCATTTTGACCAGAAATGGATGTGAGCTTCTCGGCTTCAAAAACAAGATTGTAATTCTAGTTATTCTGTATAGAAGAAAGAATGTATCCTTAACATGTAATGGTTCTGTATCCCAGAATCAGAATCACAGAGACGTGTACTGTCTGCATGGAAACATACCAATAGTTGTAAATGGAGAATTATCTTTTGTGTCTATTTTTATTTATTTTCTCAGCATGTGGTCACAGCACCTTGAGTCGTGCCCCTGGTCACCTCCCGCTGCACCAACAGGCTCCACCTCCAGCTAATCAGGATCAGCGGCCTGAAGGAGACGCAGAGAGAGAGAGTCTGGAGCTCTGACCCAGACATCAAACTGCAGAAACGCTGAACCTCGTACACTACAGGAGGCCGGGACCGCCAGAGAAGGACAACAAAAGGAACCAGTTTCAAACAAAGAAGGGAACTAGACAACAAAACTCCATCCTCCAGCTTCTTCAGCATCTTGATTCTCCATCCTGTGAACTCTGGGCCTCTTCACGTCTTCTGCAGAAACAACAGGACTAAAAGGGAAGAGGAGAAAGACGAGAGGACGTCAGGAGGTTTTTATTGAGAGGTAAGAGATGCAGGTGAACGTGGAGAGAGGCTTAAATCCTGCAGCCAGGCCTCAGGGCTGCTGCTCTGCTGGAGCTTTAGACAAAGCCTCTTACTGCCCTCCGGCCTCTGCCAGCTCTAAAGCAGCCATTATTCTCCCTGAGAGGAAGTACAGTCGGCTGCAGTGTGTGTGTGTGTGTGTGTGTGTGTGTGTGTGTGTGTGTGTGTGTGTGTGTGTGTGTGTGTGTGTGTGTGTGTGTTGATGTGTTACGTTTGAAAGGTTTCTGTACTTCCCAATCAGATCCAGTAGAGATGACTTCGTGTTGGATGAGACTATAGTTCAAAGCGTCTCTTTGACAGATTCAATTAGAGGCAAGAAGCCGATAGAAATGACAGGAAACAATGAGATTAATAAAAGTGTTGCATTAAACCAACAGTAGACACACACAAGTGTTGAGCAACAATCACATGGAGATAAACTCAAGAGCCTCACCAAAACAACTCAAGTAGAGCTTCAACTCAATGAAATAGATCCAAACCTTCCAGAGCCCAAGGTGACTTCTTCAAATGTCTTATTTTCTTCAAATTAAAGTTACATTACTTATGAAAATTAAAAGAAGCAAATCCTCGAGTGTAATTTGAAAAGTTGAAAACTGATATTTTGCTCGGTCCAATCACAAGCTA